TGTGTAAATTAACAGTCTCTCCCCCTATTCATAGTCCTCTATAAGCAGTCTGTGTAAATTAACACTCTCTCCCCCTATTCATAGTCCTCTACAAGCAGTCTGTGTAAATTAACAGTCTCTCCCCCTATTCATAGTCCTCTACAAGCAGTCTCTGTAAATTAACACCCTCTCCCCCTATTCATAGTCCTCTACAAGCAGGAAGACACAGAGCAGGGCCCAGCGAGGAGGAGGTAAACCATCTTAGTTCGTTATGTTTCGGTGGCCGAAATTTCGGTGCATAGTTCTAACCCTTCCCTACTCTACTCTAGCCAAAACCAAAAAGAAATATGGCTTTAGATCCACTTCAATAAACGTTTGTGTTGGCTATGACAAAATACTGACCTCTTGTAATGCCATGATTGCCATTCTTTGCCACATGTATGGCACACCACAAGTAAACTCCATGCAGACTTCTCTCACCTGCACAAGCATAAAAACAAAAATACACATAAATGATACAAAACAAAAAAGGAGAACAATAATAAATAATAATAAATCACCCTGCCCACTCCACTCATTTCCTGGCTGATGTCCAGATACCGTCCCAAAAGGAACCCTCTTGCTTCTCTCCCCGCGCCATCACATCCAGGACTCTCCCGATCTTAGGAATTCCCTTCCACATGCTGCTCAGCAATCTTCCTCTAAGACTATATGTGCTTCTAACATACATTTGACATGTTATTCACCTGTAAAAGTCTCCCTTGTGTAGACATCGAAAATCCCCAAGACTGCTGCTGTCATCTTGGATGCAATGTCAGCACCTCCAGCACACTTAGTGCTGTCTCTCAAGTGATACTCTATAGCAGGGGTAGGCAAACTCCAGCCCTCTAGCTCTGGTAGAACTAGAAATCCCAGCATTCATCTGCCTCGGAGTCATGCCTGTGGTTGTTTGAGTCTTGCAATGCCTCATGGGATTTGTAGTGCTGCCACAGCTCATCTGCCTCCCTTCTATTCAATTCGCGGTGGGGACACTGGGAAATGATGGAGTACGGAGGATGGGGTTTGTAGAATGCCTTTCTGGTATGTTCCTTTAATCACACCATGTGGAGGAAAAGGTTTATATGATTGTCTCATGAGAACCTATTAAGTCATACAAAACATCAAGGATAAAGATCCCTACTTCCATCTATGTATGTGCATAAAGATTAGTGCCTCTATCCATAGATATATACCCCATAGACCCATGTATTGAATATACAGTATCTCACAGAAGTGAGTACACCCCTCATATTTTTGTAAATATTTTATTATATCATTTCATGTGACAAACACAGAAGAAATGACACTTTGCTACAATGTAAAGTAGTGAGTGTACAGCTTGTATATCAGTTTACATTTGCTTCCAGTGACCAGTATGAGAGAGTGAGAGCGATAACACTAAATTTAACACATCTGCTCCCCAGTCACACCTGAGACCTTGTAACACTAACGCGTCACATGACACCGGGGAGGGAAAATGGCTAATTGGGCCCAATTTGGATATTTTCACTTAGGGGTGTACTCACTTTTGTTGCCAGTGGTTTAGACATTAATGGCTGTGTGTGTTGAGTTATTTTGAGGTGACAGCAAATGTAAACTGATATACAAGCTGTACACTCACTACTTTACATTGTAGCAAAGCGTCATTTGTTCTGTGTCGTCACATTCAATTATATAATATAATATTTACAAAAATGTGAGGAGTGTACTCAATTCCGTGAGATACTGTATACACAATATTACTCTGTGTGCATCTATACAAAATGTGAAATTATCAGCCCTTTTATCCTTTTTAATTTAAAGGGGGTGAGGTGGAGTGCACGAGTCCGGGTTATTTATTTTGGAAAATTGACTTGGAGGATCTGGAGAATTGTCTACCCAATCCAAAGAATGTCCCAGACTTGCCGAGACTCTGACATTGCATGGAAATTTTGGTTTCTAAAATTGTAAAGTAGAAAATATACAATTCTTTTTTTCTATAAATATTAAAAGGTCAGAAAGATAGAAATGTCGGATCTATGGAGTTCGTCATGGGATGGGTTAATGGTGAATGTAGAAAATAATTGTTCAAGTCAACGGACAAGGGAGTCAGAATTATGCACTTTTATGTTCAAGCTTAACAGATTGTTGGAGAAAAAGTCGCAATGCTTCTGGCATAGAAAATTCTTTGAGAGATATGTGGAAGAAGGGTTCAGCCCATGGGGTCTTCGTATACAAATTTTCCCCAATGTCAGAAATATAGACCAAGATCTAACTTACAAAGATGTTCACTAAACATGGAAATTATAAATGGTCACTATCAAAAGGAGTTTTCCACTATCAATGAGGAAATAAAGACATTGTATTCCTCCTATGCAACACTGGGATCCCTACCAAACTTTGAAAATAGGGAGGAGATGTTATTCTATATAGAAGGCTTCAATAAGGATATATTTCAGAAAAAGGATCAGAAGTTTATACGGGATAAATTGGTCTATTGCACTGGGCAGGCGTATAAATGGACACAAAGTCATTTAGTATATAAGAAACTAGGCCAACAGAATTTCCATGGTGAATATAGTGATGATACGGCTTCAAACTCGTCAACTCAAACATCTTCTCTTCTACAGATGCAAAGGAAATCTGATGTAGCGCATCGGCATTCAAGAAGTTTAGAGGAGGTGGGTCACATGGTGATGGATCGCATGGTAAGAGAAAATGGGGCACCCCACATGTAGATAGCAAATTTCAGGAGATGGAGAGATAGATAGATAGATAGATAGATAGATAGATAGATAGATAGATAGATAGATAGATAGATAGATAGATAGATGGATGAGAATGCATATTTCAGACACCCACAGGGCTTGAAAAATAGACGTAGCGTCTGCTTGGCTGTTGACAGAGCTGGTCTCTCACAATGGAAGGTGCCTTCTAAACAGACCAAACTGGTTTTTGACAATGGTATGGCTGTCCTGTATTGTTTCCCCATTATTCGTATCACAATGGGATCTGTTATTGGGAAACCTTGTGTAAACAATCACACCTAGATCGGTCAAGGCTTATTCTACATTGAATACTGATGGCAATTTATTATACAACACTGCCACCTTGAGGTGGGAAAGTGAAATACATCATATTTTTATCTCTGATACAAGTTTACCACATTATTATCTCTGATACAAGTTTTGAGGGGCAACACCCACAAGTGGGATGCCATTTTCTCTGAATAAAAGCCAGCAGCCAAAAAGAGAGAGATGGACTTCAGAAGAGGCAAGAGAGGACATCACTCTGACTAAAAGTGGACTCATCATGGAACTCTAAAACAAAGGACTTCAACGAGAAGCCATTTTCCTGCGAACGCTTAATTGCCAAGAAGTCCTGTTCTTTACGGGAATATGCAGCCTCTAAGCTAAGTACTATTTTAGTGTTTCCGCTCTTAGAAACCATTACATGTACTAGAAGGGTTGTGTAGTGGGTGCATGGGATTGTTTGTTTGTTTGTAGCAGCCTGTAGGTTACGTTTGTTTTTTCCTGTAACTAAGTTTGTATATGCAGCATTTTCGCCAAATAAAGTACTTTAAATGCTACTGGGTAAGTTTCCTTGAGCTTTACTGCAAGAAAAGACAACAAAATAGAAATTAAAGTTTTGCCAAGCTTTAAATTTGGGCTCGTCCTTGGGATAAGCTTTACATCCATGGGATTTGTAGTCTAGAGCATTACAATGGAACAGGCTTATATACAACAAAATGACTCAGAACACAGTACACAACAACAACAACAACAACAACAGGAAGATAGACAAGAGAGGAGATTAGATGACATTCAGAGCACACTAAGTAGTCCTTTTTGAGAGACACGACAAAAAACAGATTCCAAAAAAATGGGCAACCTAGATTTGTTCCTGATGCTCCCGGGAACGAGGAACACCTGGAAATAATCAATCTTTCAGGTCATGAGCTCTCTGAGGCAGAGGCCCAGGTTCTGAAACTTAGATTAAGTTTCTGCCCCACTCAAAATCTAGATCTCTTTGAAATTATTAAAGATGTACACTTATTTGCGAGAAACCTAAGTCATGTATGACAAAGAACAGGAACCCCTGGATCTGATTGTACAAAACCCAAAAGGCGGGGGTTATACAATAAATGATTTCCGTGCCCTTCGTGACTTAATGTAGCTGTGGGAGGAAGGAAATTCTGAACAAACTGAACAAATGGAAAGCCAAGATAGGGAGGGTAAAACTGAAAGTGAGGGGTTGATAAGCACCCCAAAAAATATATCTCAGAAATTTCCATATCTTCACGGTAACTCAAATATCTGGGCTTTTCTACAGCAAACAACAAAGGATATGGAAAAATTGATCGGTAGGAAAGGCTTTCTGATAAGGGTGGTAACATTGTTTTGATGGACTGCTCTTATTATGAACAGGTGTGCAGAAACATTAGGAGTAATAGAGAATGGTATAAGAAAATAACCAAACAAGAAAATGATGCTTTTAACTCGGAATTTGTATCTATTATATACCAAGCTTATGTGAAGACACTAATTGATAAAAAAATACCCTAGACTATTTAGATGTAAAACATCCTAAAACTCCCTGTTTCTGCGCATTGCCAAAGGTCCATAAAGATCTGCTAAATCCACCTGGATGCCCGATTGTTTCTGGAATCGGATGTCAATCTGAACGGCCGAGTGTTTTTCTATATGAGTACTTAAGACCACATGTGACTTCACTTCATTCGTATCTAAAAGACACCATTGAATTATTGAAGCTAGTTGATGATCTCAGCCTACCAAACGAATGTTGGCTGGTGGCACTGGACATTGAGGCTTTGTATAACAGCATTCCACACATGAAAGGAATTGAGATAATTAAGACATTTTTGCATGAACGTCCACAAGTGGGATTACAATAAGTTTGTTGTTGACCTACTGCTGTTTATATTGACCCGTAATGTGTTTCTTTTTGGGGGACTCCCTCTACCTCCAGGTGCAGGGGGTAGTGATGGGCACATATTGTGCTCCATCGTATTCCAACCTGTACCTGGGGGGGTTGGAAGTGCTCTCTGTTCTCAGATGATAGTGCACAAGCGACGCTATATCATGATGTACTACTCATTTGGTCAGGAACTAAATTAAGCCTGGCTGGATTGATCATGTTTTTGGATCTGTAGCCAAGAGAAAGTAACATTTTTTGATGTAATAATAACTTTGCAAGAAGGCAACTATCTTACAACTAGATTATTTATAAAAGGAGTTTGTGGGGAACACCCTGCTACATGCAGAGAGTGGACACCCGCTCTTCCTTAAAAATAACTTACCTTACAGCCAATATCTGAGACTCAAAAGGAATTGTTCAAAAATTGAGGGAAGCGAAGACGTTGCAAACTTAGACAGAGTGGTTATAGTAGGAAAGTCCTCAAGAAGGCATACAATAGAGTAAAAACTAAGGATATAGCAGAAATACTATATGGGAAAGGATCTAGGAAGGCAGCAACATCCCAAAGACAGACTGTTAAGATGGTAACTCGATATTCACACAGTCATGCACTGGTTAGGAGATGTCTGGAACACTATTGGCATCTCCTCACGAGTGACAGGAAGATAAAAAAAGTTTGTAAAAAATTCCCCTGTGCTAGCATTTAGAAAAGCCAGAACTCTACGGGATCGGATGACTCAGAGCTTCCATCGACCAAAGGAGGCAGAGACGAGATGTTGGGAGGAAGGCTTACGCAGGTGTGGGAAATGTGATCACTGTATGTGGTTTATGGAGGACAATGTGATTCAGCTACCAAATAGAATAAATGGTTTCTTAAACATAGTGTGAACTGTCAGACTAAAAATATTATTTAACATACTGCAAATGTTGGCCCACTATGTGGGCAAAACCCTAAGAATTTATGATCATGTGTATTTAACTCAGAATGGGAAGCTTACAACTCCAATCAGCCACCATACAGGCTTGCGACACAACTTTGACTCCAGCTATCTAAACTTTTATATTTTGGATTACATACATAAATGTGAGAGAGGAGGTGATGTAGATAAGAGATTATTACAGGTAGAGGCACGATGGATTTTGTGTTTAAAATCCAACATTATTTCAGGTTTTAAAGAAATTTTGAGCTATAGACCCTTTTTGAAATGAGATAGTGGATTTGAACATTATTAGTGCTATGACTGTTTGTTGATTTGTTGAAATAAATATATCGAACATCAAAAAATGTATGGTAACTAAATTAGAGCCCATTATAGATAGGTACATGTAGGCTGTACATAATATATTGGTTTATGCACCTATGCATGTATATAGAAAAATTGGAAGTACGGACAACATGGATCTGTACTGATTGATTTGTATTTATATTGCTTAATAGAATGATTTCTTGAAATTGTATGTGTGATTTCTAGAGGTGCACCAAAATGGAAATTTGAAAACCGAAATAAAAAAAAATGTCAGGCCGAAACCGAAAATGTTTTTTATTTACTTTTTTTTCAAATTTTTTAAATATTTTATGGTTATCTATTTTTTTTAAACTTTTTAATTTTTTTATATTTATCTATTATTATTTCTTTATTTTTACTTTTAGGGGCTTTGGGGGAATATTGGAGGTCTAAACATACACCTGATTTTTCCCTTTTAAAATAGAAAAAGAGATTGAGGACACAGAGTTCTCAATCTCTTTTCTGCAGCCCCAGTTATCAATGAACAGGAATCCTCTATGAGTGTTCCTGTTCATTCATAACATGAGGACATTGTGTGTTTACTATAACCACAACTATGAATGAACAGGAGGTGATGAACACTCATTCATAAAAATAAACAATAAGGTGATCAGCGCCAGTAAGTGTAATGTGAAAATATGAGCTGCCAAGCACTAAGGCTATAACTAAATATCTGGAAAATGTGAAAAACAATATTGTGCCGAGCTAATTATCATACACATCTAATACATTGAAACATATATAAGTGAATCACATATATGAGCCTTCAAACAATTGAGGCATAAAAATAACCACACACAAATGAAAGCAATAAAGACAAAAAGAGTCCCAGGAAAAAACAAAAGCAAAACAATGGTGATTGTGCAAAAAAAAAAAATACTTCAGATGATTCGCAGCCAATTTGCATATAACTCTCAGGTAAGGATAATCACACAATGCAGGCAGACCTTCACCTCCGCCCAGTGAGTGATGACAACAAGTGAGTGCTCACCTGGGGAGGTAGACCCACAGAGCTAGGTCAAATGCGCTTTTTCCCTTCTTAATGGGGGAGGGAAGGCCATGTTATGCACCTATGCATGTATATAGAAAAATTGGAAGTACGGACAACATGGATCTGTACTGATTGATTTGTATTTATATTGCTTAATAGAATGATTTCTTGAAATTGTATGTGTGATTTCTAGAGGTGCACCAAAATGGAAATTTGAAAACCGAAATAAAAAAAAATGTCAGGCCGAAACCGAAAATGTTTTTTATTTACTTTTTTTTCAAATTTTTTAAATATTTTATGGTTATCTATTTTTTTTAAACTTTTTAATTTTTTTATATTTATCTATTATTATTTCTTTATTTTTACTTTTAGGGGCTTTGGGGGAATATTGGAGGTCTAAACATACACCTGATTTTTCCCTTTTAAAATAGAAAAAGAGATTGAGGACACAGAGTTCTCAATCTCTTTTCTGCAGCCCCAGTTATCAATGAACAGGAATCCTCTATGAGTGTTCCTGTTCATTCATAACATGAGGACATTGTGTGTTTACTATAACCACAACTATGAATGAACAGGAGGTGATGAACACTCATTCATAAAAATAAACAATAAGGTGATCAGCGCCAGTAAGTGTAATGTGAAAATATGAGCTGCCAAGCACTAAGGCTATAACTAAATATCTGGAAAATGTGAAAAACAATATTGTGCCGAGCTAATTATCATACACATCTAATACATTGAAACATATATAAGTGAATCACATATATGAGCCTTCAAACAATTGAGGCATAAAAATAACCACACACAAATGAAAGCAATAAAGACAAAAAGAGTCCCAGGAAAAAACAAAAGCAAAACAATGGTGATTGTGCAAAAAAAAAAAATACTTCAGATGATTCGCAGCCAATCTGCATATAACTCTCAGGTAAGGATAATCACACAATGCAGGCAGACCTTCACCTCCGCCCAGTGAGTGATGACAACAAGTGAGTGCTCACCTGGGGAGGTAGACCCACAGAGCTAGGTCAAATGCGCTTTTTCCCTTCTTAATGGGGGAGGGAAGGCCATGCACAGAAAAGGCGATAAGGTCTCCTCAGATCACAGGTATCAGCATAAATCCAAGACGAAAGAGAAAAAGGACAAGGACATAGTGCGTAACGTCCAATAAAATGCAATTTTTTTAAATAAAAAATGGTGTAAACAGTACCGGCATTGGGTATTGCTGGATCAAACCAGCATGGCAAATGGCAGCAAAGCGATGGAACAACCCGTTCGTCCGGCTCAGCTCAGAGACGCCGGCCGCTCACAGCACTCTCCTCCCGCAGCGCTCGGCCGGCTGTCACTTTCTCTCCTCCCTGTGCCTCCTCCGGCTATATGGGATGCACCACTAAGTATGAGTGGTTGCGATCCATCTCTCTCCCCTTCTGGATGGGGTGGAGAAAGGGAGATAGCGTCCCTGGTTGCCGGCATATCTTGCCGCCTATAACTGGGCTGTGGGAACATTCGCATTGGTGTCCACACCGCTGCTGACGTTACACGCTCACAGCGTGTATGGGCGTCTCCTGCCGGTGGGGATAATATAAAGAGGACACACGCCAATTCTATCTATGGAGGAGGAGGAAAAGGACGACATTCATATAACATGTAAGTGACATGTTATTCGAGGTGATTTGAGGATCTACAGCCGAGTGATACACAAATAAGATACATTTTTGTTAATAGTTAAGGAACTTGAATGTATTTTTAAGAGTTTAGTGTCACTTTAATATTTTGGCAGATGTCACATCACAGTTCCTTATACCTCTTAGGGACTCTCTTGGTGATATCTCTGCACTGAGTTACGGGGACAGCCAACCTGCAGTGCCAATTTTGATGGGTTCACACCATCGCTGCTGGGTTTTATTTATCTAAAGAGTGCATGTAAAGCAAAACCTTCTTTGTATTAGTTTTGCAGAGGCGGAAGGGGATAGAACCTCTGGCAGAATGTATTGCTGTGTGTCTCTGTTGGGGAGATAGTTATCGTCATTGTTGAGCCTGAAGAATGGGACCCTGTGTGACCCCGAAAGCGCTTGTTTTGGTGTGCTGATGACATCTAACTACAGTTATTGTCTGGCTGCGCCATCCCCAGTCACTAAGAGCAGACAATCCCCCCGCGAGCTGTCATTCCTGGAACAAAAAGTTCCAGAAATCCAAAATGTTACAGTTGTCATTGGAACAGGAAAGGAGGTGGGAAGTCTATTATTGGGGAAACCTGTTCTGGTGACAAATGTCTAAGGGGGGATTTTGCCACAGCTTGCTGCCGTCTCTGTGGGACAGAAAATGAAGCAAAAACAGTACACAATGTGTAGGACCCACCTAATTTGTATCGCCCTGTACACAGCCAATAAACCATCAACGATACACTCACCAGTCTGGCGAAGGGGGCTGTTTTTAGTAACAGATCTGTTGACTTTTGATATTTTCTTATCTCCATGAGTGCTCGTGTTCCTGGCCGATAACGACGCACAGGTTTACGGGGTTTGACTTGTTGCTTCTTGCTTGTTGTCGCTGCTGTGTTGTAAAATTATCATCAATATTTTATAGGCTACATTCGTACTAGGGGTGATTAGATGAATTTATAATGGTTTTCTAAATGCATATACTGTATATGCATCTAATGATTTCCAATGGATCGATTCACACCTTGCGCTTAGATACTTCTATCTGCAGTCAGTTTAGCCGTGTTTAGAAAAGCAAGACGTCAGGTGACTCCAGTAATTGTTTTACACATCTAAACACAAGATGCGTTTATTTGCTAAAAATCTTATTGGCTACTTCAATGGAATGTTTCAATGGAATGTTTCATTCATTCAATTGAATGAATGACAGATGCATCTAAAAGCATATGCATGTAAACGCATGTCATTTTAAGTGGCAAGTGTGAATGGAGCCTTAAAGTAGCATTAAACTTTTTTTCCAAGAACGAATTTAGATGAAACAAATATACATTTCCCAGCAAAGTATTTCTTTACATTTTTGCAGAAGCACTTACAGTCATCATGTTAAATGAACAAATGGATCCAACTCTCTCAGCTTTAATTCCCTGAACTTCCTGTCCAGGACAAAATCACAAGGGACAGCACAGTCTGCAGCAGCCATCCACCTACTAGCATGGAGAAGGCAGAAGTGGGGATCAGGGAAGTAGCTTGCCTTGCTGTGCGTTTGTGAAACCATACAGCTTACTAGCACACACAGGGGTGGCTCCTTAGGAACCTGCAAGGGAAAGGAGCCATCCTAAAACACAATGTGAGGGCTAGTGCTTAGGGGACCAGCTGATTCTGCAGGAAGCTAAAACTTTTACACATTAAAGAGCAGCATCCATTGCAAGTGATTTCATCAGCATTCAAAATAGCTTAAAAACATTTTGTACAAAAGGTTTGTGGTCACGTCCTTTATTATCTGGTGCCACACCCCCGAGATAATTCGAAAAAATAAGAGAGATAGTGGGGCTTTAAGGGCACCAACTGACAAGTCCAATAAGTCACAAAGTACTTTAAAGAGAGTATATATAATGTTTTTAGATACAAAAAATTTAAAACCATGATTAAAATGTAAGGTGAAAAAAGGAGATGACCTCCAAATACCGATCACTTCCCCATATAGACCTGCTCAAAATATTACATACAATTAATTTAAATTAGATGTACATAGATCAAATTAAATGCTGCATAGATAATTAATGAGACAATGCAATTGAGTTGTATTCATAGGCATATAAGGTCTTAGCTGGGAGCTGTGGAGTGGATGATATTCTCAACGCGTTTCGCGCATCTAGCGCTTCGTCAGGAGGTGGAGGGAAATCGAATTCAATCATAAAGGAGTAACATAAGGTATATATCTTGGTACAGTATTTACATTAACAACATACACAAATCGCTTCATAAATGTCTGCTAGTCTTACCCACCGGAAGGCAGGGCCCGTGGGTGAACTTCCGAGTAGAATGGCGGAATTCACTATGTCCTGTCACCAGAGGTCTATTGCCTTTCTAGACGTCCAGATTGGGGTGGATAATGATGAGCTAATTTACACCAATCGTTATAGAAAAGATACAGCGGGGAACACTATCTTAAATGCATCAAGTGCCCACCCTCTGCCTCTAAAAAACAGTATCGCCCATGGGCCCTGCCTTCCGGTGGGTAAGACCAGCAGACATTTATGAAGCGATTTGTGTATGTTGTTGTCAAGGCTGGACCAGTGCTAAGTATCTAACTGGATCACAGCTGCGGAACCGATGGGGTCTTTGTTGGATAAGGAAGTTCAGTGAGCGACTCCCAGTTACATTAACTGCTAGAGGGAGATCGCACTCACCATATACTTCCTGTTAGGCTGGAGTGATGAATAAGCTAGGATGCTATAAAGGTAGTACCCCTTACCCCACACTCATATGCGGCAAGCTGTACATGTGCGGTACCAGCGTGCGGAGTATCAAATGGGGAGACAAGCAGTAAGAGTAGCTAAGGGTTAATCTCTAGCAAACAGAGCAGATGCATATATAGGACATGTAGGCAGAGCCAATGGGGAGGTAAATGGCAGGTTATTCAGCAACAGACAATTAGATGCACCACTATGCAGTTTTATCAGCAGGTAGCAAGCATGGGGGCAATATGTGGACAGATCTAATCCTCTCCAATATTAGACTCATCAGCAGACAACAGACTTTAGCACTATCACAACCCTTCAAGGGTTAATATGGCAGTTTTAGAGGTTGTGTCAGTCCTACGTCTCTTTAGCAGGTATAGCCAACTGAAGGAGATGCAATCCAGATCAGCTGGGAACGCTTACAGGGTGTGTGTGTGAGAGAACGCCGAGCGACGAACCAGCTGACCTTTTACCTTGGTAGCCGCGCCCCGTGGGAGGAGCCGCCGTGACGTCACGCACGAGACGACCCTTCGCTGGAGCGCGGGGACACGCCGAGTAAGTCTGTGACAGTTGTTAATGTAAATATTGTACCAAGATTTATATCTTATGTTACTCGTTTATGATGGAATTCGATTTCCCTCCACCTCCTGACGAAGCGCTAGATGCGCGAAACGCGTTGAGAATATCATCCACTCCACAGCTCCCAGCTAAGACCTTATATGCCTATGAATACAACTCAATTGCATTGTCTCATTAATTATCTATGCAGCATTTAATTTGATCTATGTACATCCAATTTAAATGAATTGTATGTAATACTTTGAGCAGGTCTATATGGGGAAGTGAGCGGTATTTGGTGGTTGTCTCCTTTTTCACCTTACAAATTAATCATGGCTTTGAATTTTTTGTATTTAATAAAACATTATACTGTATATACTCTCTTTAAAGTACTTTGTGACTTATTGGACTTGTCAGTTGGTGCCCTTAAAGCCCCACTATCTCTCTTATTTTTTCAAATTAAAAACATTTTGACCTTAATATCACTTTAAATTGTATTCAAACCTAAACAATAAACATATTTGCTTCCTTTGGGTCTGATAAATATATCATCAAAAGCATTTTGTTTTATCTGTGCTAACAAGAACCTGCGTTATCTCAAGGAATCCAATTAGACCTCCCAGTTCTTATCATAAAGTGATTAGTGCCTATGTTGTACAGAGTGGGGGTGGTTGAGCAGTTTAGCAATAAATTAAGGTTTGTGCTTAACGAAGTGTAACCCTTACCTGCTACCGAAGGCTTATTGCCCTTAGTGAAGGTTTACAAACACTGTACAAAAGCTCAGTCTTTGACAGCCAGCTGCAAGTTCCAGCTGCCATTGAAAGCCTTGTTAAACGCAGCAGCGGGAATGCAAGTAGAGATGGGCAGGCATGCTATGTACGACCTGTGTACCTTGATGAAATTATTTTGTGCATCTGTACCATGCTTAATGTCTGCAACTGGTTAAAGTGGATCAAAACTCAAAAGTAAATATTTGCTGTCTTATAGGGAACGCCTAGTAATGCTATTCGTGCCTAATACTTCTGAAAAATAGTAGAGCCCTTCCTGGCATGTGACTGTACCTGCAGACTCATAGCTGAATCCAGCTCAAAAGAGGCAACTCCAGGGACACGCTTCGGCTTTTCTTCCTTTTATTTGCAGCTTACATAGGGTTACGAATAGTTAAACTTTGCCAACTACTGTTTCACGTGTGCTGCATGCTTTCTGAAAGCATCATGTATACACGCAGTGGAGTCAGGATCACAAGACTAGTTAAAGCAACATTAAAGTCACACCCCCCCAATGCTGCTTTAAGGACTTACCTTAATAGATGCCTCTTGATCTGATCATCTTCTGCCTTCCACTTGTTTTCAGGAGTCTCTCTAGCCCTGCTGCCGGTCTCTGATCCAGCACTGACTGCTGCATCTCCTGGGTCCCGCGGAGTCTGTCCGACGTGCACGCTCCCAGCTGCGTACATTGACTTACCCTGTGTCTCTCCTCTTCTCCCGGCCGAAGATCTCTACGGCAAATGCGCCTGCCCCGTCATCCTTTACGGGCGCTCGAGAATCTTCAGAAGGGAGTATGCGGCGGAGACACAGGTAAGTAATTACCTATTTGGTAACTTTTTATTTTTCTTTGTACGTTTTTGCATATATCTACTGCTTGCTAGCAGTATATATATGTAAAAACAAAAGTGACTTTAATTCTACTTTAAACACAATTACAAATCCTTTGACAGACAAAATAGTTTGTGGACATAGTTACCATAAATTGAGCTGTTTAAAGTTCGGCTTTAAAGAGACCGCCTTGAACGGGCAAGTTTTCTTGTAAAGGAAATCCCCTTGCCCACTGATACTCACCCTCCCTCCCCAGGTTCCGCTGCTATTTCATTCCTTTGCCAGTACCCCCGAGTCCTAACAGTGTGAAAGCTCCCACAAAATATCGATTTAGATCTTATTCTTACGTGGGGATGGTGGAGGTGGTGGCACTCTCTTAGGAGGTGTTGACTTGCGGCGAGATGACGAGGATTTGTCAAGAGGTTTCATTCTGGCTGTACACAATTTAGATAGGCTAGACCCTACAAAGACAGGGAAGGAGACAAAGTTAGAGGGTAACCTTATGTGGGTTAGTTTTAGATCTAGATGGGTTTTTTTCTGTGTGTGGTTTACACACACACACACACACACACACACACACACACACACACTTAGTTTTACAGATAATCATTTGATTAATTGTAACAGGATTCAGGAGCACTATGGCTTAGCTAAACAGAAAACATAAATGCAGCTGGTTTTAAAGAGGAACGTTATCCAGATCTTTAAATAGACAAACACACCTTTAGAAATGTTTAGTAATGACAATCTACAAACACATACTTCTAAATAATGGTCAACTTTTTATTCTTTGCATACGTTATTTCTCTTTTCCAGTCTTCTCACAGTGGCCATGTTTATGTAGGGCAGATTAATATATTTTCCTTTACTTCATGGAACTCTAGCACATGTGATCAGGACACGTGACCATGCACATCACCTGAGGGGAGGAAAAGGCCTTTCCCTGAGATTTCATGAGGTTTTCCAGCAATGCTCTGTTCATTTAATCTTCCCAAGATGCAATGCTTGGGCACAGGCTGCATCACTAATCCCCAAGAGGACCGGGAAGTGAAAAAAATAATAATTGGAAGTGAAAGAAATACAGTGGTACCTCGGTTCACGAACTTAATTGGTTCCACGATTCTGGTCGCGAACCGAATTGGTTGTGAACAGAATCACATTTTCCCATAGGGTGCAATGTAAATCAGGTTAATCCGTTCTGAACCATAGGGGAGAAAAAGAACCATATGAAAAAAAAAATGAAAAAATGTAACCACAAGTTTCTTTGTTTACCACCATTCTTGCTCTGCACATTCTTGTCACCTTCATTAACCTTCATTAACGCTCTGCACATTCTTGTCACCTTCATTAACGCTCTGCACATTCTTAATGAGAGAGAGAGAGGGGGGAGAAGAGAGAGGTTTGGGGGAAATAGGAGAGAGAGGGGGGTGCGGGTGGGTGCAGGCAGCGGGAGGGAGGAGGAGATGTGCAGCCAGCGCTGTAAACAGGCATTGTGAGGTCTTGGATCTTGCAAGTGCAGGATCTTATGGCAACCGAACCAGTTGGCTGGTAGGCTGGTATCGGTGCATCCTTAATCCCATCCATCCCCATATAGGCATTAGACACCCCTACATTTCCCCTATAGGCAGCAGTTCCCCACCATAGGGGTGTACAGGGACAATGAGGGCATGCTTGCAGGGGCGTCCCGCGGCCAGGTGTCACCTGGTCTCTAGACTGGGTGACACCCCGCTGTGTCGTCATCGCGCATGAGCGGACATCTGGTTGATGCCTGCCGGCGGCCATCTTGGTGATGGACGCCAGCAGAGAGAGGAGGGGACTTCTTCCAGCGGGATAAGGTATGCCGCCGGGTCTCCTCCTCTCTCCTGACACTGTCAGGCTCTCGGTCCATGACAGGGTGCTCGACTTTTTAGAGGGGGTGACACCAAAATAACTGACAGTCATATTGGTGTCACCGCCTCCACTGGTGGCACCCGGGTGCGGGCTGCACCCCCTTGTGATGCCACTGAATGCTGGCACTTGTAGTTCCCTGAGTGATATGTGTATGTGTGTGTGGGGGGAGGGGGTGGGGTGTACGGGGACAATGAGGGCATGCTGGGACTTGTAGTTCCCTAGGTGATATGCGGAGGCTGTACAACTACAAGTCCCATCATGCCCTCATTATCCCTGTACACCACATATCACCCTGGGAACTACAGGTCCCAGCATGCCCTCATTGTCCTTGTACACTTTCCCCCATATCACCCAGGGAACTACAAGTTCCATGATGCATGTGTCCTACAGTAGTTCCCTGGGTGATAAGTGGGGGTGTACAGGGATAATGAGGACATGCCTTGTAGTTCTCTATGCTATGAGGCTGTATGGATTCCTGTCCTCCTTAAAGTACAAGTAATACAGCGCCATTATAAAACATAGAATAGAACATAGTTGACCTTGAACGTTTCAAGCTAAATTATGTTTTATTCTATGTTTTAAATAATATTGTTAAACAGTAAATATTTATGGGTCTCTTTCCCTTTTAACCCAAAAATGACAGCCGCAGTAAAAAAAACAACAAAATAATACAAACGATATTTGGTCAAAATAACTAGAAACAAAAATACACAGCGCTATCTCCCCTCAACATTTAGCCCTTATCCCCAAACCCTGAACAACAAATAATCAGTGACTGTTTAGGGGAGCTAGGGCGGTGCACTTTTTTGGCTCACTATTTGCCATAAACACAAGTTGGAGAATTTCATTAGAGAGTTTCTTTTGACTCCAGTACTGATTGGATTGTGATATACAGTATTTACACATTTTTCACATTTAGAAGATTGTTCTATTCACATCTAACTTTGATATAACGATATTTTATTGATTTGTTTGCATTGTGTTGATATATTTAGTGGTCTTTTTCATATACACTGATTACCGACTATTTGTTGCTTAGGGTTTGGGGATAAGGGCTAAATGTTGAGGGGAGATAGTGCAGTGTATTTTTGTTTTTAGAAATAATAATAATAATAATAACAACTTGGGAATGTGTGTTTATTGTAAATATAGAAATGGAGGATGTAGTGCGTGTTTAATTACAAAGTGTTATTATTCCTAAATAAAATGTACGTGGACAGGATTAGGTGCCGGAAATCCACCATTGGGGAGGGCGGTGATGTCTGCAAATTGTGTACTGACCTTCCACAGCAAAGTTCGCTCTCTTTTATTGACCTGGATTATTATATACAAAATACAGTATATCTATCAGTGATATACAACACGTCACACAATGCACAGGACACAGAAACATAGGAATTGGGCACTAGGACTTGAAGAACCTTACAAGCTCACAGAGACACACACACACACACAATGACACACACATACAATGACACACTGACAAACACAGTGGCACACACACATACAATGACACACACAATGACACACTGACAAACACACTCATACATACATACATACAATGACACACACATACATACATACAATGACACACACATACAATGACACACTGACAAACACAGTGACACATACAATGACACAGACAGACACACACACACACTAGTACCTGCAGCTCGGGACCAGGCGGCAGTGAGGACAGAGAGGAGAGAACGGCTCCTCCCACAGTGCAGAGAGTGGCCCCGAGGAGGTAGTGTGAGGCTCCAGAGAAGGCACGTGGTGGGGGACAGCTAGAGTGCTACAGTGTAGAATGAGCGGCACCGAAGTCAGCACAGGGGGTGGAGCTGAGATCATTACAGCAAAAGCCCGGTCCACTCAACTACATGATTACCGCCCGGTCTGCCTGTTTCAATATTGTGCTCCTCCCGGCCAGCCCGCTTTTCGCTGCCCGGCAGCCGGCGCCCCCTCCATCTGTGCGCCCGGGGCAGCGGCACCCCCGGTTGTTACGCCACTGGCACACACGGAACTAGTTAGAGCAGCAACTAATTTATAATAACCAGAGCACCATCAATCACATTTTTCTAAGTGCCTGATGAAAGAGCCGAGTGACTACGCAGCTCCTCTCTGATAAATGTATCCCATGTTGTCCTTGCTTACCCACTCCCGAGGACAGAAAACCCCTTCAATCCGTCACCCTGCAAATCGGAAGATGGATATAATGAACAGCAGCAGGAAGAAGCTGAACTTGTTTGATTAGACGGAATCGTAATGCCAGGAAGCACAGTGCTGCACAGTGATTTCGCTAGAACACCAGCTTCACAGGCAATCATGAAGCAGGTCGACGGATCACAGTCCGCCCCCCGACTTCCTGATAATCTGGGCACCGGTCCTCTGTAAAAAAAATAACGGTACTCGTACTTGATAGCGAAAAACCGGTATCAGTGCATCCCCAGTTAAACCCATGAGGTCTCATTTGAGAGATTTCCTTTCACTTCCTCTTGAAGACACAAGAACGGAGAGGAAATCCCTCCAAAGTAAGCGAAATGCAGTCTTAGTCAATAATTCCTGGAAACAGTTCCCCATTAAAAAATGTCCCCTTTAAGCCTGTGCTGGTGGAAACAAAGCTGAAATGTAAGATTCTTATATATGGTTCCTCCATTATCAACATGCTAGGAAAATTATTAAATACAACCAGTTTTCAGTACACATCTAATGTCAGACCCAGTGACATCACTAGTTCTCTTTGATTCTCTATGCAATGCAGGAAGATCATGGCTGGTGGTAGGTGAAAGGTTCAGCTGGGTGCTGCACATAGCTTCCTGAAAACAGAAAGCTAGGGTAATAAATCACACATGTGATGACAAGACTTGATGAATGAAAGAACAATGAATAAAAGGGGCAGGCCAAGGACAGTCAGGCTGGGTGAAAAGGACTAGATCAGGGGTGGGCAAACTCCGACCCTCTAGCTGTGGTGAAACTACAAATCCCATGATGCATCTGTCTCTGGTAGTCATGTCTGCGGCTGTGAAAATTTTGTAATGCCTCATGGAACTTGTATTTCCACAACAGCTGGAGGGCCAGTTTGTCCACCCCTGGACTAGATGGTGCTGGACATCCTCTAGCCAGTAAATGAGAAGAGCTCTATCTGAAATGGGGGGTGAGCAGCATCTCACCCCGGCAAAGGGATCAGGTAGGAAACCTACTTATTAGTTCGCAGGAGGAGAGGGCGAAAAAGGGTTAGCACTAAAGACTAGGGATGCACCGATACAAATATCGGTAGCGATAACAAGTATTTGGGCTCGTACTCGCCCAAATACTCCAATACCCTCCCCGATACCGGAACCTCCGGTGAGAGGGAGATTTCCTCTGATCAGCAGTGCCGCGAGGAAACATAGAGTTGGCTTCCCAGCCTATCAGGAAGCCGGGCCACGGGCAATGACTAGCGGCCTGGCTTCCTGATTGGCCAAGAAGCTGACATGCCGTTTGGCCGCCTGGATGGTGATTGGCCAGGAAGCCGGCTTCCCAGCCAAACAGCATTGAAC